CCTCATTTCAGGTAGCTGTGGAGAGCTATAAGGTCTCCCCTGAGCCTCCTCTTCTCCAGAAAAAACAATCCCAGTTCCCTCAGCTGCTCCTTGTAAGACTTGTGCCCCTCACCAGTTTTGTTGCCCTTCTCTGGACACGTTCCAGAGACTCAATGTCTTCCTTGTAGTGAGGGGCCCAAAACTGAACACAGTACTCAAGGTGAGGCCTCACCAGGGCTGAGTACAGAGGTACAATTACTTCCCTACTCCTGCTAACAACACTGTTTCTGATATAAGCCAGGATGCCATTGGCTTTCATCGCTACCTGGGCACACTGCTGGCTCACATTTAGCTGAGCATCCACCAACACCCCCAGGTCTATGCCTTCCACACAGTCTTCCCAGCCACTCTGCCCCAAGTCTGTAGTGTTGCAGGATCTGGCACTTGGTCTTGTTGAACTTCATCCCACTGGCCTCAGTCCAGCAATCCAGCCTACCTAGATCCCTCTGTAGGGCCTTCCTAACCCCAGGCAGATTGACACTTCCTCCCAACTTGGTGTCATCTGCACACCTACTGAGAGTGCACTCAACGCCCTCATCCAGGTCACCAATAAAGATACTGAACAGGACAGACCCCAGTACTGACCCCTGGGAAACACCACTTGTGACCATTCACCACCACTCTCTGGGCCCACTCCTCCCACCAGTTCTTTGCCCAGCAAAGAGTGTATCTGTCCAAGCCTCAGACTGCCAGTTTCTCCAGAAGAATATTGTGGGAGACAGTGTTGAAGGCTTTGCTGAAGCCTAGGTAGACTACACCAACAATCTCTCCCTCATCCACCAGGTGGGTCACTCAATCATAGAAGGAGATCAGGTTGGTCAAACAGGACCTGCCTTTTGTGAACCCATGATGGCTGAACCTTATGCCCCAGATGTCCCACACATGCCATGTGATCTCACTCAAGGTGATCCAAGCAAAACTTGAAACTTGATGTGTGTATGAAGTGTCTTATTTCTTAGAAATCATATAGTTATGCAACATTTTATTTTCCCTGCCTTTAAAATGATCATTTGAATACAATAAACTTTTGGCCAAATAAAATAGACAATAAAGAGACAAAAGGGAGAAATCTTTACAGAAGTAGGCATTATATCATTTTCCCCCCACTTTACTTTCCAGACAGTCACATAACATATTGGAGGTTAGACAGCAATTAACAATGAAAAATTACTTATGTGAACAGGCAGATTGTTAAATAAAGCAGGACAAAAGGTAAGTAACCTAAATTCTTAGTACATCAATGCAGTTACTGAGCTTCTCATTTATTGGACCAATTAGCTCTACTAGTATGATTTTAAACTTACTGACAGGCTTTGCTTGCATCCTTCCAATTAACATTGGATCTCAGTTATTGCCCATGCATTTCCAAAGCAAAACTTCCCAGATATTTCAAGACTGTCAAGCATACTCAAGTGCAACGAGGAGTAGAAGGAGAGAAAAAACAGAAAAGATTAAGGTAATCTTTCCTTCTTTTTAAGGCATGTGATGGCACACACAACAATTAACTTAAAATATATACATGATTAACTTTCACACTGTTTTTTCCATTTTTCAGAAAGTTTTAATGAAGTGTAAGTAAAAAGCCTACACTGGGAGATACTTCAATCTACGCTGAATCGTATCAAATCAGAAATCATCTTTTGTGGTGCCACTAAGCTCATACAGCATTCCTGTTTATCAGTTCTGACTTAACCACCAAGAAATGCTCTTCACTTTACTTACTATTTGAAGGCTACATGCCTCCAGTCTGTTTACAGAATTAAGTCAAAAAAAGCTATTTTAAAGACAGTGACTTACATGACAGGTTTTCTACACATCCTGGTCTTTAATAGTAGGGACAAAGGCAATGAAGACTGAATGCATATGGCTGCCTCCCTGTCACAAGCCAGCACAGTAATGCATTGCAAGGGTGTCACATAGTTCATGGTAATTGCTACACAGAAAGCTAGACAACAGAAACCAGCACAGAGCACCAGCCAACATCATTAGTGATCCAGGTCACAGAAGGTTGTGAAGCCACATTGACAGCTGCGTACATATCCAGCTGAGAAAAGTATTTTACATAGGTAGCTTTAGATAATGAATGAAGAGGAAAAAAATCACAGAGTCACAGAATTGTAGGAGTTGGAAGGGACCTCCAGAGATCATCGAGTCCAACCCCCCTGCCAAAGCAGGATCCCTACACCAGGTTGCACAGGTAGGCATCCAGGCAAGTCTTGAATATCTCCAGAGAAGGAGAATCCACAACCTCCCTGGGCAGCCTGTTCCAGTGCTCCGTCACCCTCACCATAAAGAAGTTCTTACGCACATTTGTGCAGAACTTCCTATGCTCCAGCTTCTGGCCATTTCCCCTTGTCCTGTCTCTGCACACTGCTGAAAAGTCTGGCCTTGCCACTTTGCCCCCCACACCTTAGATATTTATAGACCTGGATCAGGTCTCCTCTCAGTCTTCTCTTCTCAAGGCTAAACAGACCCAGTTCACTTAGCCTTTCTTCATAGGGGAGATGCTCCAGGCCCTTCACCATCTTTGTGGCCCTCCGCTGGACTCTTTCCAAGAGATCCCTGTCTTTTTTGTACTGGGGAGCCCAGAACTGGACACAGTACTCCAGATGAGGCCTTACCAGGGCAGAGTAGAGGGGGAGGATCACCTCCCTCGACCTGCTGGCCACACTCTTTTTAATGCACCCCAGAATGCCATTGGCCTTTTTGGCCACAAGGGCACACTGCTGGCTCATGGCCAACCTGTCATCCACCAGGACACCCAGGTCCCTCTCCGCAGAGCTCCTCTCCAGCAGGTCATCCCCCAACCTGTACCGGTGCATGCAATTATTCCTCCCCAGATGCAAGACTCTACACTTGCTTTTGTTAAACCTCATCTGGTTTCTTACTGCCCAGCTCTCCAGCCTGTCCAGGTCTTGCTGAATGGCAGCACAGCCTTCAGGTGTGTCAGCCAATCCTCCCAACTTCGTATCATCAGCAAACTTGCTGAGGGTGGCCACTATCCCCTCATCAAGGTCATTGATGAAGATGTTGAACAGGACCGGTCCCAGCACCGACCCCTGGGGAACACCGCTGGTTACAGGCCTCCAACCAGACTCTGCACCGCCAATGACGACCCTCTGTGCTCTGCCAGTCAGCCAGTTCTCAACCCACCTCACTGTCCACTCATCTATCCTGCACTTCCTCAGCTTTGTTATAAGGATGTTGTGGGAGACAGTGTCAAATGCCTTGCTGAAATCAAGGTAGACCACATCCACTGCTTTCCCCCCATCCACCCAGCCAGTGACAACATCATAGAAGGCTACCAGGTTGGTCAAGCACGACCTCCCCCTGGTGAACCCATGCTGACTACTCCTGATAACCTCCGTTTCTTCCAGTTGTCTGGAGATGGCATCCAGCACAATCTGTTCCATCACCTTTCCAGGGACAGAGGTGAGGCTGACTGGCCTGTAATTACCTGGATCTTCCTTCTTGCCCTTTTTGAAGACCGGCATGACATTGAAAATGGAAGTTATGGGAGAACAAGTGTAGTTATCGTACAGTTCTCAAGTATTCACATGCTGTCAAACTGTTACAGACAAGAATATTTAAAGATTAGGATAGCTTTTGTTACTTAAAATAGTTTGGTTCTTTCCTCCCCCCTCTCCTTTTCTTTTTCAAGATGCAGTAAATTCTCCTACCTAATCCCCAAAGAAAACCAGCTAAAGAAAAGAAGTTAAGGGGCATCAGCTGTATTCCTATACTACCATAGTTATGTGGCAACATTTTGCTACATCACTACAGAACTTCAGGATGTGCCTTTACATAACTAGATTACTAAGACAGCAGGTGACATTAAAATGAAACCCAAACAGACAGATCTTACAGCATACCACCCAACATATTTTAACCTTCACTAGTAAAACCACTATATGCATTAATATACTAAGTAGAAGTGGGTTTTTGTTTGCTTTTCTTCAAATTAGAACTTCAGAGTATAACATAAGGGTTCCATTTTAACAGATTTAAAAAAAAAAAAAAGAAGCAAATGCTATGGTAAAATACAGCAACTAGCTACTGGTTTTTAAGGAAAATCAATTTGTCCAATGTTGATATTTTTATAGCTTCAGTCTACTCTCACACAAAAATTTTGTTTTTGATCTCTGAAAGTACAGAGAGAAAGCATCAGTTGCTGGCATGACAACTAACTCAAATTCAAGAATTGCCATACAACTAAACATCTGATTGTATGCAGAGATGGAATAGCTTCCTTAAATTGAAAGCAAGCTTTGAAAATGAAAATTGTTTTCTTGGAAGCGAGGAAAGCCTTGAAGTTAAGGGAAAGAAATGAAACATGAGAAATATGAAAACTGACCTAAAACAAACAATGACAAATTTTGTTAGGTCAATCCAATATAAAGCTTATCTACAAAAAAAAAATTTTTTTGGTAAATGACTTTCCATTACAACTTTTAAAGAGAAAATGATTTGTTTTAAAAGAAAACTAAGTTCTAGAGCTGTCTTATTACACGTCATGGTTTTGTGATTTTTGGTTTTCGGTATTCCACATCATAACATCATGTGGGGCACTGGGAGTTTGACTGTTGGTGCTCAAGCTCTGGGTACCTGCCTGGAAGAGAAGAACTGCATCCCCCAGGGGACTTTGCGGTCACAGAGTGTCTTGAGATACAACTCCTGGCAAGGTCACCTGATGCGCTCTTCTTTTGCCTGCTCTTCGTCGGCTCTCCTCCCTTTTCTCCCTGCTGCTCAACTGGACTGCGCATCTCACCTCAGAATTGTGGTGAGGCCTATCCACCTTTCGGACATTCTCTCTCTCATTGTATTTGATTTATTAGCTTCAATGCTAATTATATTGTATTATAGTGTGTTATCTTGCATTCTGATACTATATTTAGTAAATTAGTTTGTTTCTCCTCAGATCGTTGCCGCTGTTTTTAATTATTTTGGGGTCCCCTGTTCCCTTTTTTCCAGAGGCGGGGATCTGCAGATCCCTCCGCCCCACTAGTCACGGAACTGGGCCAAACCAGCCCATGAACCGTTGACATTACAGATTTATTATACTATTTATAATTACATGGAAAGACCATGTAAAATTTATTTCCACATCTTGGAATGTTTTCTTTTTTTATGAAATCCAGATTTGTTATTTTTAAAGACTAGAAAAAAATGAATTGACTTAAAATTTTCCACATTTAGTAATCTGGTCTTCAAATAAAGTTTTTTTCTGCCTTGATTTTGTCACATAATTTAGTATTATTTGCATTAAATATTTTAAGAAAACTAAATCCATGTGTCCTACATGTTTCATTAAATAGATATATATTGCATGCATCAGCAAAGATCATCCTGTCTGCTAAGAGGTACATTTCAATCTATAGCACCACAACACCTGTGCCAGCTTTGCTAGTAAAATACCCAGTGTGGTTTTATCAACAAAATGGTGTTTCACATTATACTGATGGCACTCCAACAAGAAAATGATTAACTGGAATCATCATCCTCTAAGAGGATATGAAAGTTGTCAATTACAATATATGTAGGTGGCATTCAGCCAGAATTACAGAGCAGTTAGCAAGTCTCATAAAGCTTTCTCTTCCTGCTGAAAAAAAAAAAAAGGCTTCTCCTAGCTTTGAAAATAACCACCAACTTGTAGTTTATATTTGAGGAAAAAAAGGAGGTGATAATTATTTTTAATAATAGGTGACAAAAGCACCTCTGAGTCAGAAGATAAATACCATTAAAATAGAACTAGAAAAAAAAAACAGCAAAAAAAAAGTTACTTATGAAACAAAACACATCCAGGGAGTTTCAGCTTACTTTGCACTTGAGAAATTTTACTTTGTTCTTCTAGAACAATTTATTGCATCCTGATGATCATATTTCACTGAGGGGCTTTAGAAAACCAAATCTGCAGCTCAATACTAATGACACTTCAGCTAAACCCTCCTCCCCATGGAAGGTAGCTTTCCAGCTTGCAATATTAACATTACATTCTATAGCTGCGTTAAGTACCAGTCAGTTAATGAATTCTTTACATTTTTTTCCTTCCCTTGGAAGTTTCTTCCCCCCAACACCTAAGAGGCACGACTACTGTGATTATGAAATCTTATGCTACAGTAGAAAGGACTGTAACACTAAGTTCGATGCTAGTCAAATTTTTAAGCCAATTATCTGGAGAAAAATCATTCAGAATTAAGCGATGCTAATTATTACACTAAGAACATTCAGCTTTCAACAATTAGTGGACAGCCTCACTGCTTGATTATTAAGAACAGTTCTTAATTTGTTTTTGCCAGTTCAGAGGAACTACAGACATGCCTCAGGCCGTTGGAAAGGGGGAGAAATCCAAAAGATGAAACTTATAAGATAATTAATTTGTTTAAAAAAAAAAGAAAAAAAATATTATCTCAGAGCTGAAGTCTCCCTAAGCTGAAGATGGAACGGCAGCAAGCCTAAGAACAACAATGGAGCTTCCCTTCAGAAAATAAATGGCTATCCAGAGGTGCACGTTTATAGGCCGCGAGCAGACAGGGCTCAGCACAAACAAAAGGCTGCTCGAGACGGCACCAGGGCGGCCCTGACTACCACCACTTTATCAACCGCTATACCGTGGGTGGAGAAAAAAAAAAAAAAATGTTAAGCAGTTTCTTTCGCCTGTCTTCCCCTTTCACAGGGGTGGGGACAATAGAAAAAGACGCAAATAAATATGAAAATAAGAACAGCGTTCGGTCGCCAGCTTCTCTGCTGGGCATCACCAGTCACAAAGCAGATCCCTCCGTCGAAGTTTCATCTCTCCCTTAGAATGGGAATACAGTCTCCCATGTTCGTCCTTCAACCCCCCGCCTCCACAGCACACAGGAAGAGAGCACCCACCTCCGGGACCACTTAAGCGGAGACACAGAGGAATTAACCGACGGCACTCGCCGGCGGATGAGCAGCGGCAGGGAAGAGAGGGAGTATTGTTCTTACTAAATGAAGAGCATCCCTCACTCCCACCGTATTCATAAAGCACCACTTCCCAAAGCAAATATCTTCACGTCAGTCCCCCTGATCCCTAAATATTTATCCAGGACATAGCCGTCCCCCCTCCCATCGCCCCCCGACCACTGCGACCCCCTCCCCTCCGGCTCGCTGTTATCCTAGAAATGCCTTTGTTCGCAGCTCCCCGCCCGCTGCCCGCTCCCTCCTCCTCCCTCGCACCACAGATCCGCTCTTGGAATCTCACAATCGTTTATTTTTTTATTTTGGAGCACGGAACAGATCCTCATCCTTGTGTGGCGCCTTCTGCTGATTCATATCTAACTAGTGGCCCTGAGGAGGTGGGGGAGGCGCGGTGGAGACATCTCCTCCCTACTATGATCCAGGGTGCGGCGATGACCCGGATTACTGGGGGTGAACCCTGGAAAGGGACAGAGCCAAATGGGATTACACGGCCTGGATTACCAGGAGCCCGTACGGCACAACATGAGAGTTAAAGGGCCCGGTCTCTTGCAGGCTCGCTGCCTGCCGGGTGTGAAAGGCGGCACCGGGCGTGAGAAGGGAGCAGCCGACGAGGCAGAGCAGCAGGTAGTAGACGTATCAAGGAGAGAGATGAAGGAGTTAGATATTCTGGAGGCAAAAGGAAGGAGACTAACAGAAAAAGTTATACGGTCCGAATTACAAGGAGGAAACGGAGAAGGTTGCGTCGACCCCAGCGCTCGGGACAGGGAACAGCTCCCCGGGGATGGGGCCGCCAAAGTAGCCTCGGCAAGGAGGCAACTCCTAGCAACACAAGCGTGTGACACGCAGGTGTATGACTTACAACACGATCAGCAGTACCCTTTGCCTAGGTAACCGAGACGACGGCCCAGCTCCAGAGTGAAGCCCTGGCCGGTGACTCACCGACTTGCAGGACATTATCGACGCAGCCGCCATCGAGCAGAGCTATGCCCCTGCGGAAAGGTAGGCGGTTCTCATCAGCGACGGCGTCTACGGCCCCACCGGACGTGGTGTTGGCGGCTGCGCGCCCAAGGGTGGTAAAACCCTCAGCGCCGGTGTCGAAGGAGGAGTACATACATATCTCCCTTTCGCTGCGAGGGAAGGACCAGTAGACGATCCTGCGCTGTACCGGCTCCGGAATCCGTTCGAACCGCTCCTCCACCCGCTGGAAAGGCCACTTCTCTGCCACCTTACGAGCCGCAATATCTAGCAAGGACTCGGGGCTTTGTGTCTTGCCAAGCGGCAACAACACCAGGGCAGCGGCGGCGGCAGCTGCTGCTGATGATGATGGTCCAACGCAGAACGTTCCGCTCCCAGGCCAGGTATCACCCGCCTGCTGGCCTAACCTACACCCTGAACTGTAACCGGGTCGACAACAGAGACGCTTTGCATAAGGAGGGAGCTGACCGCGCTCCGCCATGATCGCACCGCTTCTAAGCGGCCAGCGGAAGTAGCTGCAGCCTATAAACAACACCAGGAAGAGCCACGAGCCTGGCACAGCCCTTCCTCCCCTCCCCCCCCCCGTGGGGGAGGGGTCTTCCACCACACCTACAGCAAGAAGAGTGACAGTCTACTCTTCCACCTACCGCCTAGCAGAATGAGAATCATAGGACAGTTCATGTTGGAAGGGACCTTTAAGATCATACAGTTCCAACCCCCCTGCTAATAGGCAAGGATATCTCCCACTAGACCAGGTTGCTCAAAGCCCCATCCAGCTTGGCTTTGAATGCTTCCAGGGAGGGGGCATCCACAATCTCACTAGGCAACCTGTTCCAGTGTCTCACCACCCTCACAGTAAATAATTTCTTCCTGATATCTAGTCTAAATTTACCCTCTTCCAGTTTAAAGCCATTTCCTCTTGTTCTGTTGCTACCTGCCCTTATAAAAAGTCTCTCCCCAGATTTCCTGTAGGCCCCCTTCATATACTGGAAGGCTGCTATAAGGTCTCTTTGGAGCCTTCTTTTCTCCAGGCCAAAGAGCCCCAACTTTCTCAGCCTGTCCTCATAGGGAAAGTGTTCTAGTCTTCTGATCATCTTTGTGGCCCTCTTTGGACTCACTCCAACAATTCCATGTCCTTCTTGTGTTGGGGGCCCCAGAACTGGATGCAGTACTTCTGGTGGGCTCTCATGAGAGCAGAGTAGAGGGGCAGAATCACCTCCCTTGACCTGCTGGTCGTGCTTTTCTTGATACAATCCAGGATACAGTTGGCCTTCTGGGCTGCAAGCGCACACTGCTGGCTCACATTGAGTCTTTCATCAATTGACACTCCCAAATCCTTCTCAGGGCTGCTCTCAAGCCATTCTCCTCCCAACGTTTATCTGTGCTTGGCATTGCACGAACCCAGGGCACTTGGCCTTGTTGAACTTCATGACGTTGGTATGGGCCCACCTCTCAAGCCTGTCTAGGTCCTTCTGGATAGCATCCCTTCCCTCTAGCTTGTCAGCAGCACCACTCAGCTTGCTATCATCTGCAAACTTGCTGAGGGTGCACTCAATCCCACTGTCTATGTAATCTACTGTATAGGAACTATTAGGTCACTGCCTGAATCAGTGATTGAGCACCTGGTGAAGAGGTGTGGCTAGCCCTGGGAGCACAGGCACAAGCAATTCACCTGTCATGGTTTTATGGTTTTTTTTGGTTTTCAGTATTCCACATCAAAACATCATGTACTGGAGTTAAACTGTTAATGTTCCAATTCCAGGTACCTATCCCTATACATTATGGAAGTCATGGGATCTGACCCTTCCGGGGGGGGCGGTCTCTTACTGCCTGGCAGTGGGTGCTGGAGGGTGCTTTCCTAGCCGTTCCAAGCTTTTCAGGTTTGACTCGGTCTCGGGAACTCTCTCTCCCCTATCTTATTTGATTTATTAGTCTCAATTTCAGTTAGATTGTATTATATTGTGTTATCTTGCATTCTGATATCATAGTTAGTAAAATAAGTTTACCTCCATAGATTGTTGCCGCTGTTTTTTTTCCCCCCTTCCTTCCTTCCCATTTTGTGGGGCCAGGCAGGGGGTGTGGAGGGCAGGGGCCTACTGCCCCCTATCACGGGCATAAACTGATCTAGTTAACTCTGTGACAGGGCTCTTCCCCTGGATCTTCTTCCTCTTTCTTCTGTTCTAAACGAGGTGATGTTCATTTCAGTTCTCATCCTCTTACAGGGGTAACTGACATAAATTTTGGTGACTCGTGTGATTGAACAGGTTGCTCAGTTTCGATGCTCTTTCTCTCCTGCTTGGCTCGGTTTCTGTCTTGTTTGGTTTGGAGGGAGTCTCACTCGGTTTGGAAGGTGTCTCGCTTGGTTCGGATTGTATCTCACTCATATTGGAAGGTGTCTTGTTCATTTTAGAGGGTGTCTTGTTCAGATTGGTGGGTGTCCCATTCATATTGGAAGGTGTCTTGCTTGGATTGGAGATTCTCTCTCTCGGATTGGAGATTCTCTCTCTCAGCTTGGAGACTTTCCTTCTCAGCTCAGAGACTCTCTCGCTCATTCTGGAGATTCTGTTTCTCTGCTAGAAGACTCTCTTTCTGAACCTGAAGATTCTCCCTCTCAGATTGGACTCTCTCCTGAAGACTCTCTCTTTCATCTTGGAGTCCGTTTCTCGACTAGGAGACAATCTTTCTGGACCCAGAGATTCTCCCTCTCAGTTTGGATTCTCTCCTGGAAACTCTTCCTCTCAGCTTGGAGACACTCTCACTCATTTTGTACTCTTCTCCCGGAGACTCTCTCTTTCAGCTTGGAGACTCTCTCCCTCTCTGGGATAGTACTGAATAAGGCCTGATAAGCATAAGACAGGCCCCAAATAATTTGTGCCTCTTCAGATCTGCCTGAGCTGCAACATCCCTGTCTCAAATATCTGCCTAAGCTCTCAGGATCTTGCAGGTGTTAAGGAGTAAAATTCCATATCACCAGCAGTGCCCATCTCTCTGAAGTCTCTCACAAGTCCCTCCACACTCCCTGCCACTCAGTATTCTCTGGCTTTGGGGAAGGCTTCCTCAAAATATTATAAATACAGATACTGAGTGAAATGATGAGGAGTACATTCAGGGAGATTGACAACATGATCATTGGATGAGCATTCAAAAAACACCTAAAGGATTCAAGGGATAGACTGGGAGACTGTTTAAAAATCACAAGTTCTCTAAAATTAGCAGCTCCCTCTGGAGTTGTATGCCATGTGGTATGCAGATACCAGGTAGGTATTTCCATCAGTGTTTTCAATTGATTGTATGTACATATAGCTCCATAGAGCAGAGTGGCAAACTTAATTAAGGCCCAGTATGTTCTGAGCATTAAAAGAAAAAAAAAAAAATGATGGAACGCAGTCCCTTGAAGAGCAGTTTTATAAGAGAAAGCATTTTGTTTTCCTCTTTACAGAAGCAAGTTAGCAGCACCTAGAAAGTTTACAAATATTCCAGAATATTGGCAGTCCTCCTGGACTTCGAGGTCTTGTTTTCAGTACAGCACCTGCAATACAGATAAGCTTTCTAATGAAGCTCTCCAAGAGTAGAGAGATTCGTTCTAAAAGTACACTTTAAAATTGCCAGCCAAGGCACCCTATGCCCACATTCTCCCCCCAAAATGCCAATGGTTGACAGGCTGGTTCAGCCCAGTTCTGTGACTAATAGGGCGGGGGGACCCACACCCCAGGAAAGGGAAAAAGGGAAAAGGAGAAAGGGCAGGGAGATGGGCCTAAAAAGAAAACGGTGGCAATGATCTGAGGAAGAAAGTTAATTACTACATATGATATCTGAGTGAAAGATAACACAATATAATAAAATGTAATTGGAAATGAGGCTAATAAATAAAATAAAATGAGAAAGAGTGTCCAAATCTAAAGGACGAGGAACAAAAGAGATGACTCAGGACTTGCGAGCAGTTTTATCTTTCCCTCTGAACGGAAAACAGAAATTAAAAGTCTTGTGGGGTATGTAGTTCTTTTCTTCTGAGTGATTTGCGGAATCAAACTCTCTAACCCACGTAAGGTTATAAGAGCAGGTACGTCTTTATTTCAGCGCTGCGCCACACGCCGGGTGCAAGGGGGATCGCTCCTCCTAACTTGCACACCGGAAAGTGAGATCCCGTTACATTTATAAGTCAATCCATACATATTCAGGAGTGTTACCCAAGACTCACCAACATATTCATCACCTTTCCGGGAGTTCATTTACATACTGTCCCCCTCCCCAGTGCATGCGCAGCAGCATCCATTGGATGAAGGCCCGACGTCTTCCTCCCCCTCTGGTGGTCGTTCCAGGATGAAGTCAGACGTCTTCCTCGCCATGTCCTTCCGACCTTTGTCCCAGTTTTGGGCTCTTCTCCCGTTCTGCATACCTCAGCAATCTCTAATTCTGCCTATCCTTGCCTCCCCCTCACGTTCCAGGGGCCCTTTTCTGCTGACTAGAGACGGCTGTCTGTTGGGAGCGTATTTTGGGCTAGCAAAGGTTAAGCAATAAGTTCCCCTTGAGCTCACAAGAGGTTAAACTAAGAAACGAATTCCCTAAGCTAAGCAATAAATTCCTCCTGAGTTAGCAAGAAGGGTTAAATTACGTGATGCTAATTTCTTTGAGTTAGTAAAGCCAAGCGATGTTACAGACCCCCTTTCATCTTTCCCACTTCACTGTCTCATGAGAACCAGGTTGTCATGTTTTTATGATTTTTCGTTATTGGTATTCCATATCATAACATCATGTAGTGTACTGGGAGTTAAAGAGTTAATGCTCCACTACTGTGGATCATCGATAGTTGCAGGTATACCTGTCTCAGAAGAGAAGAACTCTATACCCCAGAGGACTTGTGTTTCCATTTTCTGTTCAGAGGGAAAAATAAAACTGCGTGCAGGTCACGAGACTGTCTCTTTTTTTGCTGCATGTCTTGGCAGTGCATGCTCCCTGACCATCTTGCCTTCAGCTTTAGAGTAAGGCCTTGGGGTTTGGAAACCCTCTCTCATTTATTTGGTTTATTAGCTTCAATCCCAATTAACTTGTATTTCTGCTATTATAATTAGTAAATTAACTTTCTTTCTCAGATCTTTGCTGCTGTTTTTTTTTCCATTATTTATTATTATTCCTTTCCCTCTTTATTCCCTCCCCCCCACCTTTTTCTAGCTGGTGGGCCTGTGGGCTTGCTGACCCCCTGTCACAGACACAGATAGATCTAGAGATAACTCAATGACAACTTGGCAAGGGATGTGAAAAATAAGAAGAGGTTCTACAGGTACATAGACAGGAGGAGACAGACCAAGGAGAGTGTTCCCCCTCTGATAAATGAGAATGGAAAACTGGCTTCCTCAGTGTCACGCTCCAATTTATAGGAGGGAGCTGAGGTTCTTTTAATATCTGTATACCCGGTGTGAGATTAAGAAACAACGGTTCATATGTTAGTCCAACCAGTTTATTATAAGTCTAATTAGGGAGACGGGGAAGGGAAGGAGTGC